CTCTGCTCCTTACCTTCCTCTCTTCACCCCACATTCACAGTGGACTTTGTGGGCCAAAGGTGATTTAGTGTTTGGTGCTCTGGAGGCTCGTTGGGTACGCAGCCTCTGGACAGGGAGGAACGACAGGAATGAGCAAGGGCAGCAGGGAGCTGGGTGGACTGGGCGTACTGGGAGCCTGGTGCCTCTTGCTCTGCAGCCCCTAACCCTGCCTGTCCCCCCAGGGATTGCCCTGCCCGTGGGGGAGGCTCATCGCCACGAGCCCCCGGTCCCGCATGACGAGGTGGTCGTGGACATGGGGCGGGAGCGGGAGGAATCCAGCGAGAACAAGGCTGCTCCCGGAGGAGCCAACGGCCGCCTGCTGGAGGAGCCAGCCAGGCTGAACCCCCAGAAGGAGGCACTGGGCCCAAAACAAGGGAAGGAAGCGGTTGCTGAGAACCAGCAGCGGGGAGGGACTGCTGGGCCCGTCCAGAAGCCGGAGAAGGTCCTGGAGGCGGTGGTGCAGCGGGATGGTGGGGATGGCAGGCCGCCCTACAAGGAGCTGGAGCCAGGGAAAGCAGTGCTAGAAGCCAAGGAACAGGCTGCTGTGCCGGATGGTGACACTGCTGAGGCCGCGGGTGACCGGGACAAGGCCCAGCTCCAGCTCCCCAGGAGAGCAGAGGAGGCCGGGAAGCCTGTGGAGAAAGAAGCAGAGCCTGGTAAACTCCTTCCACAGCTCATCTGAGCACACTCCTCTGGGCCTGTTATCCCCCCGGGGACGGGACAATTTGGTCATTCCCAACTCCGTCCCAGTGTTTCCTTTTAATTCCACGAGACGAGCACGTGAGCGTGCACAGCCCCTCCGGCAGCTGCTGTGGGAAAGGAGGAATCTGGTGGCTTTGACAGCTACTGTAAGAGCTGTCAAACAGTTGTTCGCTACCCGCCAAAATGTCAGGTGCCGTGCTGTTCCTGCACGGCTCCCAAATCACCGGGGACACGGAGCCGGGAGATCCTGACAGGGAACACATTGCCAAGTGCCCGTCTAAAAGCCAGTTAGAGCTGTTCCTGCATGTTAATTGGCCGAGGTAGTTAGTGCTGGCTCGCTGCCACCAGCCAGGAGGTTGTTAAATATTGGGTTTATTACTTCCCTCGCAGCCGCCGCGCTGGATCCGAACGGTGCCGGGTGGGCGGGGAGGAACACGGAGGAGATTTGGGGAACATCTGCACTGACAGCAAAGCTCTGCCCTCCTTTGCAGGTGAAAAGCAGGAGCTGCCCCTCCCGGACAGAGTGGATCTGCTGGAGAACCGGAACCCCGAGGAGAAACAGGAGAATGTGGAGAGCAAGCTGGGGGGTGAGTGTGTGTCCCCAGGCGTGTGGGGAGGAGGCACAGCCAGGATTCCCCAGGATCCCTCTCTGCAGCAGGATGGTGTCTTAAGGCCACAGTCCCCCCAAACCCCAGCTGCTCCATCCTGGAGCCTCAGAGCTGGTGCAGCAAACCCTTCCTCAGGCTGAGCTCCTCCCTTTGACCTCTGCCTGGCAAGGGTGCTTGGAGTCTGAGCTCGGACTCACGTGCTCCCCCTCATCCCATCCTCCTCCAGCTTCCTTCCCTCCCTCCTGGGTTTGTGGGGTCGGATCTTCCTGTGAGGAGAGCCCCCACAGCCCCTCGAGCAATTTCTGAGGGCTTTGGGTCACTGAGGTTTTATTTCCTCTCTTTCCCCTTTTCCAGAAGCCAGACCAGCAAAACTGCTGGACCACAACATGCTGCTGCAGGTGATCAAGGAGCAGCAGGTGCAGCACAAGCAGCTCCTGGACCAGCAGGCAAAGCTGCTGGCAGTGATCGAGGAGCAGCACAAGGAGATCCACCAGCAGCGGCAGGAGGAGGGGGCAGAGGAGAAGCCAAAGCCAGGTAAGGACATGGCCAGGGAGCAGGACCCCTCCCCAGGGTGCTCACTGCTCAGAGCAGCTCTAAAGTCAGGCTGAGAGAGATCCAATTCCTTTTGGCACATGGCAGAGTCCACTGCAAAGCCATTCCTGGCCTCCAGGGCATCCCTAAGCACAGGGATAACACCCCAGGGTTCTCCTCATCCTCCCGTGTGGCCATGGGTGGTGTGGCCTCGTCTCCTGTCATACAGAATGTGCTGGCAGGAGCAGGGAATCTCCTAAGAAAACCCTTTTCCGTGTTGGTTTTGTCCCACAGTGGAAGCTCAGCCGGATCCTGCTGTGCCCCTCTCCAGGAGCAGGGAGGACGAGGGCCCGGGAGCCAAGGAAGACACAGCCGGGAAGCTGCTGAGCAAGGAGCTGCCAGAGCAGCCAGAGCAGCGCCCAGGCCGGCAACCCCCCGGGGCCACTGAGCAGCACAGGGACACTGTGGGGAGGCTGGAGGAGCCTGGGCACAGGCGGGACATTCCTGGGGCTCCTCCCAAGGAGCGGAAGGTGCTGCCGCAGGAGAATGACAGAGCTGTTAGGAATCCCGCGGAGAACCGGGATCCCGTCCATGGGGATGCCCAGCCCCTTCCAGCAGCCAGAAACCACCTGGAGAAGAAGCCCTTGGCGGAGGATTTGGGAGGAGATCATGAAGCCAAAGCTGGAAGAGACATCCACGAGAAGAAAAATTTCCTGAAACCCGTGGAAGCAGCAACAGCTCCCATCCAAAGAGAACAGCCGAGGGCTGCCAAAGTTCAGGGAGTAGCAGGAAGGAGTTTGGAAAGAGACTCAGGAATAGACCTTAAAGCCAAAGCTGTGAGTCAGGTGGAGCCCAAGGACCTGGCAGTGGCGCCAGACTCTTCCAGTAACAGGAATGGGGCAGCAAGGGAGCAGCACCCCCGGGAGCAGCGGAGAGGGGCGGAGGCTGAGGGAGCCGCGCTCGGACGGCAGCAGGACCCGCCCGGCCACGGGCACGGGAAGGAGGAGGATCCCCGGGAGGAGCCGAGGGGCCGACAGGGCCACGGGGGCGGGGGTCCCTCTAACGGCGCCGACAGGAAACCCGGCCCCGAGGATGCTCCGGCCCCAAAGGCTGAGAATGGAGTGGCCGCTCCCCGGGATCCGCAGCCGGAGCGCGACGTCAAACCCAACCGGGACCTGAAGCTGCAGGTGGGCCTTGACCTGCGCCGGAGGAGACGGGACCTGCTGCCTCCCGACCAGGAGGAGGAGGAGGAGGAGGAGGAGCAAGAGGTTGCACGGGGGGCTGAGGGGGTCCTGATCGGCCTGGACCCCGTTCCCGACGTGAAGGTGAACGACCTGCGGAGCGCGCTGGACACGCGGCTGAGCGGGGTGGCAGAGGGTGCCCAGCACCTGGTGCGCAGCCGCCACATCCAGCAGGTGACACAGGACAGGGGCCCGTGACGGGGATTTGGGGTCGTGCCCAGGCACAGGGAGGTCTGAGCCAGCGGCACTTTGCCAGGCGCAGCACTTGGATCCGTGGGATCCCCTTGGATCCAGGAGCACCACCCCGAGGGCTCCCGCAGCGGCAGCCCCAGCATGTGCCTGTGGGCAGCTGAGGTGATGGTGACGCTGGAAGCGACATTCCTGCTGCCCTTGCCTTCCAGAGCTCCCCCTGCCTTGGCTTCCTGCCAAGCTGCTGCTCCAAGGACCTTTTTCAGCATCTCATTCATATCGAATTGCCTTCTCCAGCCATCTCCCAACTCCTCTCAGAACGGGGAAGGGGCTGTGCCGAGGGGACCCAGCATCCACACCTCGGGAAGGGCTTTATCCCAGAGGAGCCGTGAGCTGAGGACCAGCAGAGCCAGCAGTGCCGGAGCTGGAGGAGGAGTGGAGCCCTGTGTGTTTGGAGACAGTTGTGGTTTGGGAACCTCATTTAGTAGAAACGCTGCCTTAACCAGGCACAACTCCTGCCGTTGTGCTGCCTCTGTCCCAGGGATGGGATTCCTTGGCCACACACTGGAGTCACAGGAGCTGCGTTCCCGCTGCCCTCCCCGGGAGCTCTCTGTGCTCTCCAGCTCCACTTCCCCTCTCCAAAGTGCATTAAGAAGCTCAATTCCCCTCGCCCCTTCCCGGCCCAGCTTGGTTTTTCTGCTGGAGATGATTAATTTGGGAACAAGCTGGGCAGATCTGGGGCCTTGGCTCACACACACCTACCTCTGCCCATGTTCCATGTGCTCTTCCCAACACCCCAGGCCTGTTCTGCATCCAGAGAGATCCCTGCTCCAGCTCTGGAAATGCTTTTGATGAGTGAGGAAGGGAAGAGCTTCCTGAGAGCCCTGGGTGGTTTCAGGCTCCCAGTTTTGGGAGTGTTTTGGGTTTTTGTGTTTTCACATCCTGACCTGCGAATGTACAGAATCCAACCCCAAAGCTCCCCCTAGACTGGCTGAGAATTTCCAGCCTGGAGCCCTCAGACCTCATCACTGTGGTGGGTTTTATATCCCTCTCTCCAAGTGTCTTTGGGGACCTTGAGTCCGTGGCCGATGGGACCCTGCGGAGCTGGGATGGGGTGGGACCCTCCCTGCCTGGTGCTCCCGGGATGTCACAGCCCAGACCCATGGGAGTCCTTTGGGAAGACCCCCTGGAATGCCATGGCCTTAAACCTCCAGGACCCCCCACATCCCAACGAGCTTCTCCATTAATGCTGTCGTCAAGCACAAGCACCAGGAGCCCCAGAGCTGCTCCAAGGACAGGGATGGGCTCTGGAGCACGGCTCCAGCTCTGCCCTGGGACACAGATCCAAGCTGTGTCCCTGTGGCACTGACCAGCCTTCCTGAAGCAAGAAGGAGCCAGACCCAGGTCGGCTCCTTCACCCCCTTTGCTGCCGGGTCAGACCCGCCTGTTTGTTGTTCTCCGTGTGAACACAAAGGACCAAAGATGCTCCTGACATTCCTCCTGCTGGGAATGGTGTGGGCACCCCGAGCTGGGCTGGAAGCCCGTGGGAGCTGCCTCCTCCTGCCAGGAACAGCTCCCCTGGGGTGGATGGAACATGGGGAGAGAGCCCAGAGCGCGGGCCAAGCCCATCAATAAAATAAGCTGAAGCATTTTGATCGGAATTTTTTTTTTTTAAATAAATATAGATCTGAGACCCTCACCCAGCCTGGGGCTGTGCCTCCTCCGGGACCCTCGTGAGCAGGATGGGGGGCGTTCGGTCATTTCAGGGCAAACCGGTGCGTTGGAGGGTTTGATTCCTCTGGAGCATCTCGGGGTGGGAGGGGGGGAGCAGCTCTGAGGTCACTTCGGTGTCGCCTTCGCCTGCAAAGAGCTGCGGTCAGGCCGGGCCGAGGGGTCGGGATTGGAACCAGGACCGGGATGGGGACCGGGGCCGTGACGTACCGCCCGGGCAAAGCATTCCCGCAGCGCCTGGAACTCCTCCAGGCACGTGTCTCGCCGCAGCTCCGCCGGCCCGGCCGCCGCCGCCGCCACGCACCGCCCGTAGGCCGCGGCCTGCAGGAACCACAGGGGACGGGAGCGGAGGCCTCCAGGACCCCCCGGCCCCGCAGCCGCCCCCCGTGTCCTCGCGTGTGCCCCTCGGCCCCACCTGGTCCCCGCACGCCGCCAGCGCCGCCGGGAAGCGCCGCAGCCGCGCCCGCGCCCGCAGCCACACACCGCGCCCCGACATCGCTCACCGCATGGGCGCCGCCATGACAGGCCGCCCGCCATTGGCCGCCCGCTCCGCCCGTCAAACCACCGCGCTCTCCTATTGGTCCGTATCGTCCCCATCCCAGCCCCTTCTGATTGGTCCCTGTGGAGATTGTTCCCTCTGATTGGCGGAAGTGCCCGTTGTTTATTTCCCGTCTCCCGCTGGCGTCAGCCCTGTTCTCCCCTTCCGCGCGGAGCTCCGCCCTTTTCAGCCGATGATTGGTGGAGCGGCAGCGTTTCTCCCTCTCATTGGTGCGCGGAAGCATCCTGGAGGCGGAGCCTTGACGCCACCGCGGGGCCGGGCAGGGCGGTGCGGGCAGTGTCATGGCGGCGCCGCTGCGGGACCGGCTGAGTTTCCTGAGCCGGGTAAGAACGGGGGGATTTGGGGGTCGGGGGGGCTGCCCGAGCCGTGACGTCACTCCACACGCGTGACGTCATCGTCGCGCACCCCCACCTCGCTTCTACAGTGGCCTCACACAGCCCTGGCGGGGCCGGGCCTGCGCCGGAGCCTCAGCCGGGGCCGGGGTCCAGCCCTCCCCGGGGTCGGGCCTGGCCCCTCTCACTTCGCCCCCTCCTTCCGCAGCTGCCGGTGCTGCTGCGGGGCACGGCCGACGACGACACCCCGTGCCCCGGGTACCTGTTCGAGGAGATCGCCAGTATCCTTCGGGGCCTGGGGCTGGTTCCATGGGGGGGGGGGGCCCCCGGGGGCAGGGGGGGGTCTCTGGGCACTGGGGGGGGGTCCCGGGGCTGCCCCAGGCCGTGGTGGGCGCAGGAGGCCTGTGGGGCTGGGTAGGGGCAGCCACAGTGCCGCGGGCCCTGGCTGGGATTCCATGGAGGGGGTGAATTCCTGGCATCCCGGGGGGCTGTTGGTGCCCCCTGATCCCGACTGGGGGGCGCAGGATCCCTAACATCCCCCCAGAGATCTCCCACGAGTCCCCCGGGAGCAGCCAGTGCCTGCTGGAGCACCTCCTCACGCGGCTGCAGAGCAGCTCCTGCCACGTTAAGCTGAAGGTGGGTCTGTGCCAGGGGCACCAGCTGGTGACGGCTGGACCCCCACCCCGTGCTCCAGGGGGCTGGGGGAGCACCCCTGACCTGGCCTTGTGCCCCGGGCCAGGTGCTGAAGATCCTGCTGCACACCTGCTCCCAGGGCTCCCCCCAGTTCGTGCTGCAGCTGAAGAGGAACGCGGGCTTCATCCGCGAGGCTGCGGGTAACGGGCTGGGCTGGGCTGGGGGGCTCAGGGCAGGGGGCACGGCCCCACACGGGGCTGGAGACCCCGACAGGGTCCTGCTGCGGGGGCTGCACCAGCAGCAAGGTCCTGCCCTGCCCGGGAGCATCCCCCATCCCTCCCCCCGGTGTGTCCACAGTGTTCTCCGGGCCCCCCGACCCCCTGCACGGCAACAGCCTGAACCAGAAGGTGCGGGCGGCGGCACAGGTGGGTGCCGGGGGGGCACGGCAGCCCCCAACCCCGTCCTGGGGGTCCCCAGCGCTGCACACACTCCTCCCTCTCTCTCCAATCCCCCAGGACCTGGCCAGTGTTCTCTTCTCGGATGTGCCGCTGCCACAGTCCCTGGCACTGCCCGCCCGGCCCCCGGCCCCCACCGGTGAGTGCAGCCCCCCAGCACCCCCGGGGGGAGGAACTGCAGCCAAGGGGGACCCCGAGTGCTGAGTGTTCCCTGTGTGTCTCCAGGGATGGGCTCCAGTCCCAGCCCCTGCGGGTCTCTGCAGGGATTCGGCTTCAGCAGTGACAGAAGCAGCCCCGGTGAGTCCTGTGCGGGCCCTTCCCTGCCTGGAGCTGTGACAGGGCCCTGGGGGGCACTTTGTGCTGTGTCCCCGGAGCTCCCAGGGTTTCCTCACCCCCGTTCCCCAGCCTGGGAGCCCGGGATTCTCTCACATCCCAACCTCTCCACAGCTTCCACTGGGGAGGCCCTGCTGAGCAGCCTCCAGCGAGCGGCCGAGGCCGTGGCCCAGGCCGTGCTCCCAGCGCCGGGGGGGCCCCGGCAGCCTCAGGGGGACCTCCCCGAGGACACCTACGAGCCTGTCCGAGCCCCCTCCCCTGCTGGCAGCCCAGCCCCACCGGCCCCGCCGCCCCCTGCCCCCCGCGGGGCCCGAGGTGGGTGCTCCTGGGGGGCTGGGGGGTCCCCACCCACCCCGAGGGGTTTGGGGACCCCAGCTCAGCACTGCTGTCCCCACAGTGAGCCACCAGCCCGGGCTGGCCGGGGGCGGCTGGGAGGAGGTGGACAGCGGGCACAGCTCCCGGGAATCCTCGCAGGGACACGAGCGGAGCCGCGCCTCAGACTCGGGCAGCAAATCCGGCAGCGACAGCCGCTCCGGGGCCAGCCGGGAGCTGAGCCACGGCACCGACAGGTGAGAGGGGCTCCGGGGGCTCCCGAGTCCCCAGGGTCATCCTGGGGGGCTGCCCTGCCCCTGGCACTGTCCGAGGGGCATCCCCAGGAACGCTGCCCTGGTGCTGCCGGCTGTTCCTCCTGGGATGTTTGGCCTCCCAGCCCTGGGTGGGCAGAGCTGCTCGGGGTTGGGGGGGTCCCTGGCCCCTGGTAGGTGTTGAGTCTGTGCCGGACCCCAGAAGGGGGGAGCAGGTGTCCCCTGTGCCCAGCAGGCATGTCCCCAGCAGGGTGGACGCCGACAGCCCCGGTGACTGCCGGCGGGAGGTGAGCCTGGTGTCGGGGCTGACGCGCGGGGCCAGGGTCTTCCTCACCAGGGAGGAGGCTCAGCACTTCCTCAAGGAGTAAGTGTTGGAACTGGGGGCTTCTGGGGGCAACCTGAGCCCTTCCCACCCCCCTGCCTGGGCCTGGACCCCCATGGTGGAGAGGGCCTGCGGGCGACTGTGACCCCCCTCCCTGTCCAGGTGTGGGCTTCTGAACTGTGAGGTGGTGCTGGAGCTGCTGGGCCGGGCTCTGGAGGATCCCAGTGACAGCGTCCGCATGGTGAGCACAGGGTGTCCCCCCCAGGGGGGCTGTGGGGTCTGGGGGGTGCCCGGCTCAGCCATGATCCCCTTTTCTGCAGAGATCCATGTCCGCCCTCTCCACCCTCGGCTGCTCCGACCTGCTCTCCCCAGAGCAGATCTTCGCCGTGACCCGGCAGCACCTGCAGCAGCTCAGCCAAGGCAGCCCCGGGCCTGTGGCCAACCGGGCAACCAAGGTGACTCTGGGGACATCCCTGTGCCCAATCCCAGGGTGGGGGGGCTCCCAGGACTGACTTCCCAGTCCTTGAGGACACACAGCTCTTGGAGATGGCTCTGTGCCTGTCCCAGAGCGGTGGGATCGGCAGCCTCTCCTGGGAGCAGGGAGCCCGGGCGGGGGGATGCTCCCTCTGAGCCCTGCGAGGGGACACTGGGGTCAATCCCTCTGCCTGGGAACAGGGTGGCCGGGCCCCTGTCTCGGTGCTGCTCTCACCCCGGCCCCTCCCGCTCCTCCCGCAGATGCTGCGGCAGTTCGAGGCCCTGTGCCGGGCCCAGCCCTCCCCGAAGGCCCCGCGCCTACCCCCAGCCCCCCCGGCGGGCTCGGCCAGGGACCTGCTGATGGACATCCCGGCCCTGGCCGGCGAGAGCATCCTGACCCCACTGAACCCGGCCCCCACGGCCCCCACAGCCCCCGGTGAGGAGCTGGGGGCAGGAGCGGAGCCCCCCGGGGCCGCGGTGCCGCCGTGTCCCTGCCAGCAGGGCAGGGGAATCGGGCTTGGGGGGGACATGGCAGCCCCTGGGCTGTCCCTGTTCGCTGGGATGGAGCTGGTGGCCCGTCCTGGTGCCGTAGTCCGGCCAGAGTCGCCATCGGCACAGCCACAGACACTGCCCCAGCCCCAGGACACGGGCACGGACATGGGGACGGACACGGAGGGCCCCCGGCAGCCCTCGGCCTTCGCCTTCCTCAACATGTAGCTGCTGTGGGGTCCCGGGGGCTGTGGGGGCTGTGCCCCCCTCCCTGCGGGGCCTGTGGTGTCCCGGTCCCTCAGGGGGACATGGGGTGTGAAAGGGTCCCTAGGGGGGACATGGGGCTTCCATCAGGTGACAGTGGCCCTGTCCCTGGTGTTCAGGGTGGGCGGAGGGGCCTGGCCATGGCACCTCTCTCTCCTCTGGGCTGGAGGGGAGCCTGGGACCCTCTGGGGCTGAGCTGGGGGTGTTCTGGGGACCCTGGCGTGGCCATGGGGTGCCCCTGCCTGGCCCCAGCTCCAGCCCAGGCTCTGTGGGGCCAAGGTGGGAGAAGGTGCCGTCCCCGTGGGGCCGGGACCCACCAATAAACCCCTCCTCGGGTCTGGGAATGTGTGACTTCTTCCTGCGCCACTGCTGGAGCCCTGCCCGTGGCTCTCCCCTCCGCAAGGGCCCTCCTTGCCCCACAGCCCCCCATCACACCACAAACCCCAACAGCCCCATGGCTCTCCCCTGCCACAGTCCCCCCTTCCCCACAGCTCCCCATGACCCCCGGTGTCCTCCTTGCCCCACAGGTCTCCTCCTGCCCCACAGCCCCCCAATAGCCCAAAAGCCCCATTTTTCCCCCAATAACCCCATCACTGTCCCCCCGCCCACGTGAATCAAACCCCGCCCCCTCGAGGACCCGCCCCTTTTCCCGTAGCCCCGCCCTTCTCTCACCTTATTGGCTCCTTCCCCAAGCCTCGCCCCCTTCATTCTGCCGCCCCCTTTTCCGCCTCAGCCAATCCCGTCTCTCTTCGCTTCCTCACTGCCTTCCCATTGGTCGCTGGCCACAGGCCCCGCCCCGTGGGCGTGGCCGGACTCGGCCGTAGGTGAGGGGCTGGGGGTGTTAATGGCGGCCGGGAGGGTCCGGGGGGGGGGCCGGGACAGGGACACGGCCTCGGGTGAGGCGTTCGCCCCGGCCTTGCCCCCCTGTTTCACCCTCCGCGTCCGCCCCGGGGGGGCTCGTTCGCTTGTGGGTGCGTGTAGCCCATCGCTGTGGGCGTGTGGGGATGGGGGGCTTGGTGGTTTGGGGGCTTGGAGGGGTGCGGGTCTGGGC